TATACCTTTGCTTTTATGTCTTGTAGGTAAATCTTTAGGAAGATCAAGGTTTCTAACTATTCTTTTAATGTCGTTTACTCTTTCTTTAACTTTGTCCTGATGTGCAGTTAAATGTGCAGTAACAAACAAAAAGCTCGTACCAAACAACATCAAGGCTATAGCTACTGCTCCTTTTGTTCTAAAAGCAGTTCCTGTTCTAGTTGAAAAACTAGCATCCTCAGCAATTGAACAGAACCAAATTAAATCTCTTCTTAAGAAGAGTGCAAGATGTAATGTTCCTAAACCAGTACTAGAAAGTAGTACATGGGAAGGACCAAGAGTTTCTTGTAAAGCTGCTTCCCATTCATTTCGTTCAGAACAGGATTCTTGCGTTCCAATTGCTAGCAAATCTGGAACAGTTTCTATGTCAGAAGGCAACATAAAATCATTTAACTCTTTTGGTGGACTTTGTCCATTCATATTCCATGTTCCAATAAAAATTTTTAGTTCACGATTTGGTAATACTTTTTCAAGTTCTACTGGTCCAAGTAATGAATTTGCAGCAATTCTTCCATGAAGAAAATTTCTATATAAAAAAAAATCATAAAATATTTAAAGGCATAAAGCTATTATTTTTATTAGATTAGAATTTTATTAAAATTTATATACCTTTCTCGAGCTTTTTGTGTAGGAATTAAATTAAGAACTTGAGCAGCTAATAATGCTTGTTTTGCTAAACTATCCATGGATGCTCCAGTTGTATGAGATTGATGACGCTCTTTCTTTTTAGACAAAGCATCATGAGATGTGGAGCGTGGTTTAAGTTGAACAGGTGCACTTTTTATAGATTCAGGACTTGAATGTCGCATAGAATTTGTTGGTGAATTTGCTACTAAATTATCCACAGATCGTCTATGAATTAGTCTTTGCCTTAAATATGCAGGAATACTTGGAGAGATAGATCCAGAGGATGAATTTTCACCTACAACAAAGTATAGTAAAATTATGTAAAATGATATAAAAATTATTTACAACAATATGAAATTTGAATAACATATATTTTAAATCAGGTATTTTAAAATAATGTCTTCAAGAACTAAAGTTAACATTATAAAATAGAATAATAAAGGACATTACAAGATGTATCTGTAATGAAACCAAATTGGTCCAATTACTAGTTAATATATTTCTTGATACTGACACAGTTATTCAGAAAATTGGAGAAACGTCCATGATTCATATAATGTAGATGTTTCAACTAGATATTCAGTTCTTTTCTCAACAGATGTACTTTATATGATTAAAAATACTACTGATAGGTATAATTATATATCTATATATATATAGTGTAATATTGTAAAATACTTCTAAGAACATTATTTATATATATAAAAAGATAATATATATCTACATATACATACAAATTTTATTGAGTCAAATTTAAAATAAATATTTACATTTTTAATAATTTTATAGTTTAGATATTGGTACTTAACAAGTGGCCAAATAGAAGAAATAATGTAACATTTATGTAATAATAAAACGAAAAATATTTGAAGAAGCATAAGAATCAAATTTTAAGCAACAGCAAGACTTCATCTATTATATTATACCTTCTTTTCCTGGTTTTTCAGTATTGTTATGCTCATGGTATTGAACCATACTGTAAACTTCAAACGGATTGTAGAATTGCCGTTCCATTTCCAAGAAGAAATAAGTGATATATTTTCCTTTTGTAAAATATTCATCCTTTAAACTTTTTTCATTTTTTTCATAATCAATTAGAAGTTCATTTTCATCTTCTGATGATTCCTCAAACAAATCTTCTGTTGACTCTGCAGAGAAATCACTATCTTCACTATTCTCTTGTGACATTGTATTTGTTTCTTTTAATAAAAATTTATGTGTTTTTTGTAAATAATTCATAGTATTGCAATGTAAATATAAATTTGGTATCTTTGAAAAACAGTCTAAATATTTTGAAGAATCATTTTTATTTAATGCATGTACATTTTGTACATTATAGTCTTCTTTTAAAAATGCAATTTTTTTATCTAAATTCCTATCTGAACCAGATTTAAGTTTGTTTTCTTCTTTTTCTACATTAATATTTGTTTCACAATACACTCTCCTATCTCTTTGAAATGTCAAAATGTTTCGACATATGTTATCAACATATAAACTATCATTCTGTTTGAAATTCTGAGTTACAATTTGTGTATTTTTATGTGATGCAATTTTATTGTCTTCAGAATGTTTTTTATCATACAAATTTGTAACAATTTTGTGATTACTGTTTTCTATACTATCAAAATTCACTTCATTATTAATATCATGATGCATCTGGATCAAATGTACCTTTTCATAACTAACACTTTGAGGTTTAGTATTTAAATTTTCAAAACATTCTTCAGAGGCTTCTCCAAACTTTGAATTTTGTTTTGTTTCTTTTTCTAGTTTGCCACTTTTATTCTTTTTAACTAGTTTAAACAATTTATTGAGAAAAGAAGTTTTCCTTACATTCTTATCTGAATTAGACATACTTAAATACTGATACTTGATACATGTTTATCTATCAAAAACTAGGTATTAACTGACTGTCAGTAAAACCCACATCTCCTTGAATAAACTCAATGAAAGCAATATTTTACTGGTTTAGTGTAGAATAATGTATGGTGGGGATATACAAGGTCACTACCTCATTCAACTAGATTACAGAATTGATAAAAAAAGAAACACTCAAATGAATGTGCTATTTAGTGCATAATGTGCTATGAACTTTAATGAATTTTAAATTATCTTTTT